GCGGGCGATGCTGCCGCGCCCCCGGGGGCCGCGCGGGGGGGCGGACTGCCCTCGGGCCTCCCTCCCGAGTTGGAACGGGGCACGAACGCCCCGGGCTGGGCCGTGGCCGAGCAGGGACAACCAGTGAGGAGCCTGTATGACGCTTGGGCTCGGGTGACCCCTGAGGGGCGGTGTCCCTCGGAGAAGTGGCCGTTGCGCGCCGCCTAGGAGAAGCGCCGCGGGACGTGGCGCTGTAACGAACGCCAGGTCCGGTGGGCTCAAGTGATCAATCCCAGGGAGGTTCTCCGACCCCCCGCCGACCGCGTGCTCGAGCTGTTCGAGGAAGAGGAGAAGCGGATGCGCGAGCCGACGCTCGCCAGTGGAAGCGCCTGCGACGGCTAGGCGGCTGGGCGGGTGCGAGCGGGCCAGTCCTCGACCCGCGCGCGAAGTGAGGTCGGCGCGCCGCGGGGGAGCAGGGTCGTCCATGTTGGGCCGTAAGACCTAAGATCGAGCGTTGAAGTGTAAGGAAATCGCGCCGATGCATCGCGGGGACTTCCGCGCAGCGATCGAGAAGGAGCGGGGCTGATGGCTGCGGTTTAAGGGTGACAGTGCTGGAGCCCGATAAGTCGGAGGAGGTGCTGCGAACAGTGGGCCGTCGGCGAATCCTCGGGGGCGACATGACATTGTAAGACAAGAGCGCGGCTCTGCGCAGGGCCGGGGCCCCGCTCCCGGCGCAAGCAAAGGCCCGTTTGCGTGTGCAGGGCCAGCGCGACCCCGACGCCAAGTTTGGGGCGGTCAAGACCAACGCCCCTGCGGTGCAGCTGTCGGGCTTCGGCTTTCCCGCAGCTGTCCGCGAGTCTCGGTTGGTTCTCCAAGCTGTCGACCGGGGACATCTCCAGCGCGCTCCTCCACATGGGGCCAGGAAGCGTTGTGTGTGTGTGTGTGTGTGTGTGTGTGTGTGTGTGTGTGTGTGTGCGTGCGCCAGCCGCGGGGCTGTCTGCCCGGGTTAGAGCCGGGCCAGCTGCTCACATCGAGAAAAGGATACGCGGGCTGCCTGACGCCCCGCGCGCCCGGTTTAACGCCTTCCGCAAGGCCTTGGTCGACGAGATGGGCTGGAAGCAGTTGCAGCTGGACGCGGCTTTCGTCTGCTTCTACCGAGGCGACCGCCTTGCTGGCGCGTTGACCGTCCACGTGGGCGACTGCGTGATCGCTCGCGACGGGAGTGCGGAGATGCCAGGCAAGGAGGCCAAGCTCAGAGAAAGGCCCCCTTTCGGGTCCTGGACGGTGGTGTCTGGACAGGCCAACTGTGACTTGTGCATTGGCCGCCGGGTGACCGTGGACGGGGACTTCGTGGAGGTGGGCGTGCCGGAGTTCATCGACCGGCGTCTGGAGGAAGTCAATTGTGGCTGGACAGAGAAGGGGGGGACGCCACTCACCCCACTCGGCAGGGCAGAGTTTCGATCGGCGGTGGGCTTCCTGCACTGGCTGGCCGGACAGTGCCAGAATGACAAGGCCTTCGAGACGAGCCGATTCCACAGGCTGCAGCAGGAGCTCACCCTTGCGGACGCCCGGGAGCTGAACAAATGCATCAGGGACGTCAAAGCCAGCCGCGGCCCCTGCCTGAAGATCGTGCCTATCAAGGGGCGCATGTTGGTGGGCTGCTGGCACGACTCCTCGCTTGATGACAACGTTCGCGAACTCATCGAGGACGGCGAGGATCTCAATCTATACGGCCGTCGCAAGATCAGGTGGCAGACAGGGGCGGTGGTGGCTGCCGTTGATCTGAATTGCATCGGGCAGGAAGAGCCGCCGATATCCATCCTAGATTGGGGCAATCGGGCGAGCCGCCGCGTGGTGACGTCAACCGTATCCGCCGAGACGGCGGCGTGCCTAGTGGGCCATGGTATGGCCCACTCCATGCCGACGCTCCCATGCGAAGCCTTGCGTGGATGGAGCAACGCGCTGGTGGTGGAGTACGGCGAGGCGCAGATGCCGCTTGCACTGTTCATTGACTGTCGGAGCCTGCGCGATCGTGTGAAGGTCGAGGACAATATCCCCGATGATCGGCGCGACCCAGCGGGGCTCTCCGCGCTGAGTTCTCACGTGTCGCGCGGCCCGCGACGAGATGAGAACAAAGGGGTTGAGGTGGTCACCTAGCCTTCGGATGAAAACATATGGGTTGACAAAAAGGAGGTCTGAGCGATAGGGTACGGAAGTTCATGGGGAAAAGTCTTGCGCGTGCACATGAAATGAGTGCTCAGGATTTCAAGCGGAGCAAGGCGGCAGGTGGCGGGAAGCAGCGAGGCACTCCGTCCTACCTTGTCCTTTCCCCTTCCTGCGTGAGTGCCTGCCGCGCAGCCGCTGAGGCCCAAGCGTGCGCTTGCGCGCGCAAGCCGACGGCCGTTTTCCCCAGCGCCGCTGCTGGCCGAGACGACGTGAGGGCGTCGTCCCCGTCGGATGGCGACGCGGAGCGGCGGGGCCGCAGTCGGGCCCAGTCTCGCGCGGAGCGCGTTGCGGTCAAGGTCCAAACGGCCCGTGCTCACCAGGTCCTGCTGCCCAAGACCAAGAAGGGCGGTGGAACTCCGGCCCGGGAGGGGCGCGTCGAGGACATGAGCGCGAGGAGGGCGCCTCGCCTCCGGCCGGGGTCGGGGCCCGCGTGCAGGGCCCACCGCGAGCGCGAGGGCGACGGCGCAGTGGGGGGGGGGGCGTGGCGGACGAGGCGGAAGTCGTGGAGGTGGAAGACCAGTGGCTTAGGTTCGATCGAGCGACGATCCAGGACCTGGACGACAGCCGCTGGCTCTTCTGGCTCGGGCAAATTTTCCGACTGGCGTGCCCTGGCCAACTGGTGCGTCCTGTCCCGTGCTCCTCGGGAGATCTGGCTGGTGCGGGGCGGAAAGTCTTTCTCGCGGTGGAGTCTGTTGACTGCGCTGCATGGGAGGTTCCCGGCCGCCGCGGCACGCTGGATGCTCGCGATCGGCAGGCAGGCCCCCCGCCGCGCGGATCGCGCCGAGGAAGGGGGGCGCGCCGAGGCCTTCCGGGCGAGGGCGCAGGAGGTGGCAGCTGAGGCGATCGTGCGTCCTCACAAGGATGCCTCGAGCAGCGATGAAGATTCGGCCTCGTCTGAGCGCGGCGGCGCGGACATGGGGGCAGAGGCGGCTGCTTTGGAAGAGTCCGAGGCGCCAGTGCGCGGTCGCTGCAGGCGAGAGGAGTTCGGGGCCGAGCTGCCCCGCCGCGGGCCACGGCGCCAGGAGCAAGAGAGGTGCCGAGTGAAAGGGGCCCAAGGGTGAGGGCAAGAAGGGTGGACCTGTCAGCGAGAAGCTCCAAAAGGGGCGCAGGGGCTGCGCCTCCGCGGCGGAGAGCAAGTTCGCTCCAAGGAGCGTCCCTTCGGGGCTGCTGGCGCCGGGCGTGTGCTGCCCGTGCTTCCAGTCCGGCCACTGGGACAACCGGTGCCCCCGCTTCCTCGCTGATGGCACCCCGCACGACGGGCGCCGAGGTGCTCGCGCGGACGAAGCCGCCAGTGGCGGCAGACCGGCAGCGCGAGAAACGTGGCGGTGTCCCCCGATCAGGCATGAGCGGAGCTCTCGACGTCACATGTGCTGCATCTTATCAGCATCATCCTCCAGTGGTGGGCGTTTTCGGGACGGAGATCCCGCGGAGTAACATTCTCCTCCGGTGGAGGGCAGTTCGGGGCGAAGATCCCCCAGGTGGCTGACTCGCGGCCTTCATCCTCCTCCAGCGGAGGACCTTTCGAGACGGAGATCCCGCAGTGAGCCCATCCGTGGTTCACATCAGGTTCCGGTGAAGGTCTACTTGTGCGCGTGTCCGCCCACCGTGTGGGCGGGCGGAGTACAGGAAGGATGAAAAGGGGAAGTCATAGCAGTGTTGCGAATCACTGCTGCTACATCCTCCTACCTCCCTCCCCGACGCAAGCCCTCCCGACGCAAGGGCGGAAGGAGGTCGTGGCATCTTGACTCGCCCCATGTGCGGGGCACGACCGTTTGTGGTGAAAAAGCTCATCACACCGACGCTTATCGTGTGTCCTTCTTTGTGCGGGTTGGCTGTCCTTTCAACGCCGTTTGCTGCATGCGTCTATGTCGGATTCCATGATGCACTGAGGGCGGGGGTCGCGTTCGGGGGGGCTTGTCTGATTTGAGCACTCTTGGAGGGTTCCGCGGGCGTCTGGGCAAAAGGCCGCCTGTCCATGGCTCCTCTGGGGGGATCTAGCATTGCCCGTTTGGGAGGGCTCTGACCCCCTCCCTCTTCAGTAGGAGATCGGGAGACGTCTCGAGAGGCGGGAGGGCCCAGGCGTCCGACCATGCGTTTCTTCGATCCCCGGCCCAAGGCCCCCCGATCTGTCCCTGGGGCATTTTTTAGAGGTCACGGCGGATTCCCGCAGTCTTACCGTGCGTCCTGATACGGGTCGACTGTGCTTTCAGCGCCTTCCCGCTTCATGCTTCTACCCGCTTCTTCCGACAGACGGGTCGCGTTCCCTGCCCTCGCTCTTCCGAGCCCCGCCGGCGGTCCGACGCTTCGTGCTCTCGTGCGCACGTGTGGATCAGGCCGTTCCGATGGAGGGCGTTTGTCGGTCACGCGCAGAGGCGCAGAGGGGGGGCATTTTGGGAGGGGGAAGGCTTCTTAGCTTAGCTGCCTCGATACGCCCGTTTCGATACGCAGCACGTGCCGTGCTCAAAACGTCCGTGTCAATGCGCTGTGTGTTGGCGCAACGTATTGGCCCACGTTGTGGCGAAAGCATCGCGTCCGACCTACGTTTTGAGGATCTGTGTTGAGCTCCGTATGAAAAAAAAGGCTACGTGTCGCGTGTTGCGTATCGAGCCAGCCAGCTTCTTAGAAGCACCCCTGCTTCTTAGAAGGCGCGGGCCTTGTCTACAGATGTAGGGCAGGCGCCTTCTGAGAAACGGCCTCCTTGTAAGAAGCCTTCACCACTTCCCCTAGCCCCTTTGTGCGCGTCGCCACTCTCGCGCGCACATGTTGATCAGGCTGCTCCGAGGGGGGCTTCTGAGGAGCAGATTGTGGGCGACGGCACCCAGACCATCGTCGCGGCGGCGGAGGTGAGTCCGTACCCGCAGGACCTCGGCTGGTGGTACAGCAAGTCGAATTTTACGGAGACCATGCGGTCGCAGGCGCTTTCGTCGCTTGGGGTTCCCAGCGACTGGATCACCAAGTACGCCCACTGTGACAACAGCACCGTGAACAGCATGTGTGGGAGCCCGCCGAAGTATCAGTACGCGAGCTCTGGGTTCCTTATGGGCCCGGCCTTGGATCTTTTCACGATGCTCAGCGGTCTCGAGTCCTATGAGGGCCCGGAGAACCGATTCATCAACGAGTATTTTCTTGCGAATCCTGCAAAGATGACTCTAGACTACTCGGGATCATTGTCGATGACCTTGCACAACCTTGTCAAGCCGGACGGCAGCATTCCTGTGGAAATCTCGGGGTCTGGCGACAGCAAGAAGCTCGTGTCCAAGGATACCAACACGACCATATGTTTCGTCCACGGCAACGGCAACTCCTTCGAGGCCCTGAGATTACTGGCACAGGAGCTGAAGGATGCGTGAGGCACTGCCAGAGGATCGAGTGCCGGGCCTGCGCCAAGAAAGTCCACTTCTGGTCTACTGGTTTGGAGCGCCCGCCGCCCAGGCAGTTCGCTCGGCTGGCCTGCTCTTCCTCTCCTTTATCCAGCCTCTCGTCTTCTCCCTCCATCCTGCACGTCATCGGACTCCCGGACGGCGCGTCTCTGGATTCTACACGCTGCGCGTTTCCCCACCAGTTTTCCCGACCGCGACCGCCCGCCGCCAGCGCTTCCGCCTGCGGCTGTAAAAAAATAAAAATAAAAAACAAGTTTCCCCACCAGTTTTCGGCGAATTGTCCTGCAAATTAGCCCCGTACCGTGACCCGGACGCCGCTTCCGCTCCCTGTCCGTTGCTTCGGAGCCGCTGACCCAAAAAAAGTTTCCCCACCAGCTCGCGTAGCGCACACTCCAGAAACGATGCACGGGCCAGCTGTCATCTGGAAGGAAGCGGATTTTTCTTATTTCAACGAGGAGGGGTATAGCAGCCAGAAACAGCGGGAATCATTTCAAGCTGGCCGTCGAGATAGTATTGCCACGTTTTTTTTGATGGAGGTCGAGGCTGAGGAGGAGGATTATCGTTTCGCGCAGCGAAGCGTTGCGTTGATTATCTCGCACTCGCTTAGCCGTGCTTCTTCTCACTTTGAATCAGCTCATCCTTCCTTCTAATCTTACTGGTGTCCCCCTTTTTGATTTGACCGCTGGCCTCTTCTGTTTTGACAGCGCCCCTTTTCACTAATTTTGAGTGGGACACCCGTCAAACCGACAGTCCAGGATGCCTCCAGGGAGGAGGGAGGAGGGAAGGTGAAGGCGGTATGGAACCACCCTCTCCCAATAGGGTAGACGCCCGTTGGGGGAGGGTGAAGAGAATGAGAGGAGGAGGAGAGGAGGAGGATGAGGAGGAGAAGGAGCAGGAGGAAGAGGGTGAGAAGGAAGAGGAGAAGGAACACAAGGATCAGTGGGAGTAGGAGGAGAAGAACTCCGAGGACCGCATCCCTCTGGCCACGCCGCAGGAGCAGGAGGAGCAGAAGCTGGAGCAGGAGGAAGACCATGATAGCAGCGTTCCTCATCACCGAGTCGGCCGGGTCAAGCGACTCGGCGGGCGCTGCCCTATCTCTCACGCCCGCCCTCCCACGACGAACGTCAACGGTGGCCCCACTTCGTGCGGGGCCGGAGCGCCTCCCCGCCCCAATGAGCGGAGGGCGCTCGCCCGCGGCCTGGCTCCCCGCGAGCTGGCGAGGGGGGTGAGCGTGGGCCGCGGGCGACGGGGAGGATCGGGCGGAGGAGGAGGTTGAGGAGGAGGAGGAGGAGGGAGCAGCGCTCGGGGATCGGCAGCGGTCCTCCCTCTGGAAGTCTTGAGGCCAGCGTAGCCGAGGATCTGATCCTACTGTCAGTTTCAGCCGTGGCCTGGACCGTCTTGGACCGGCGTGGCGTAGGGTTGGGTATCGTTGCAGTCTTTGTTTATCATCGTGTTGCTCGTTGCTGTCGAACCGAGAGAAATGGGATGTGCGTGGTGCGTCTTGGGTGCCTCTAAGAGCCCTCCTGGGGGTCTCCTGGGGTCCTTCAGGGCGCTCTTGCGCCCAGACCATGGGCACTTCAAAAGAAGGGGTCCTGAATTACCCTCGCCGCTTTGGAATCTGCTTCGTGGCCAATTTGATTCCTCCCGGCCCTATTGGCAGCCTTTCAGGGTTGGCCAGCTGGGCGTTCTTGGCCCGTCTGACGCCGTCGGATTCCGTATTGCGGGCCTCTCTGGTCCGAATTGGGGCTCCCTTGGAGCGCTGAAGGGCCGTCTTGGAGACCATCTTGGGCGTGTTGGAGGTCTCTCTGGCCGTCTTAAGGCCCTCTTGGAGCCGTCTTGGGGCCTCCTCGGCCGTCAGGGGGTCATTTCGAAGGCCTCTTGGGTGCTCTTGGGGCCATCTTGATGGCCTCTGGGGCCTTCTTGGAGGCCTCTTTGGCCGTCTTAGGCGTTCTTGAGGCCATCTTGGGCCATCTTGGGGGCATCTCGGCCCGTCTTGGAAACATCTGGGGGCCGTCTTGGGCCCCCTTGGGGCCATGGTAGCCGTCTTGGGGACCACCTTGGCCGTATTGGAGGCCATCTTGGTGCCGTCTGGAGCGGAAATACCGACGACCTGGGAAGTTTATGGGTTCGCACGGGGCGGACAGCCGAGAGGATGAACATTTTACACGCCCTTTCGGGTGGCCAGTGCGTTAGGCCGAAGTCACCGGGGATTTGCAAAAGATACAGGCAAACCTAACAGTGGCATGCTGTGAACTCCTGTGGCAAGCCACAGGGGGCGGTGGATCGAGGACGCTTACGGCGAATCAGCGTCGCTCCCTGCCTTGTGGAAGCGGCAGTGTGGCCGAACGTTGCGGTCAGAGCTTGGCCAAGCTATCGGGCTATGTGTTCCCCCAGCTGCTGTGGAAACCCTTGGAGGAACACATGGGGAAGAAAGAAGAGGAGGAGAGGGATGAGAGGGAGGAGGAGGATGAGGAGGAGGACCACTCTAAACTCAAGACGCATCAACGATGTTGCAATAACCCTCACGAAGTTCCTTCTTCATATGACCCTACAAAGAACTGGTATTCATTGCACGAAATGGGGAAGGCCCCATTGGAAGACAAGCGTTCGAGAAGCCTCAATCTTGCCAGAACACCATTGCTGGGACGTCAGCGTTGCGGATCAGCGCGATTTTAACGTCCTGGCATTCCTAAATCGTGCCAGAACATCGTTCCTGGGACTTCAACACCGCGAATCGACGTGATTGCTGCGTCCTGACATGGCCAAACCGTGCCAGAGCATTGTTCATGGGACTTCAACAGTGAACTAACGTGATTGTTGCGTTCTGACAGTCCAGAATTTAATCAGAACCGAGCTTCTGGGATTTCGACAATGCAAGTCCTTGACATGCTACACACTTTCGGAACGAATGTACGTGGTGCTAAGGCGCGAACCACGTTTTGAAACAGAACTGGTCCTCATTTGTGAAACTGTTCAAACTTTTGAAACGAATGTGCGCGTTGTTACGGCAAAAGTCACCCATTTTGCAAGCCACCCGCCTTCCACCCGTGAAACTATTGCAAACTTTAAAGACGAATGCGCGCGGCGCTGCGGCGAGAGTCAAAGCAACCCGCCCTCAGTCCGTGGAGCTGCTGCATTGAATGAATCTGGCGCGACCCCCATTCGAGGAAAGCCTATTGCATGGGCGCATCGCTGGGCGCAATGCTTGGCATTACTTGGCATTGCTTGGAATTGCCTGGCATGGGTTGGCATTGTTTTTCATTGCTTGGCATTGCTTCGCGTGGGATGGCGTTGCTTGGCATTGCTTGGCATGTATTGATATGTATTGGCATTACTTGGCATTGTTTGGGAACCCTGGGAACCCGAGGAACCTCCGAGGAACGGGCAACGGAGCAGTATGAGGCACCCGGTGCGGGGAACCTGAGGAATCCGGGGAACCCGAGGAACCTCTGGGAAACGGGCAACGAATCAATAGGAGGAGGCACCAGGGGCGGGGAACCCGAGGAACCTTGGAGCAATGGGCAAAATAACATTAGCAGGCACCAACCTCTAACCAAGTAAGAACTCCTTGGCCAAGCCAAATTTGAGAAAACGGAAGCAAATATTTGCGGCGCTTTGACGCGAGCCACAGTTTCAAAATCCATCCGCCCTCCATCCGTGAAACTGTCGCACATTCTGAGCTTCAGGGTCATACGTGGTGAGCAAATCTCATACGAAACGCACAGCCCGCCCTGCCGACACGACTGGGGGTGCGACGGGGAGGTGTTATTGATAAGAGAACGGGATGGAGGAGGATGAGGAGAAGGAGGAGGAGGAGGAGGAGGAGGCGTCTTGGGCTCTTGGGCCTCTTGGGAGCCTCTTGAGGCACTCTTGGGGCCTCCATCTTGGGGGCTTCCTTGGGCTCCTCGGGAGGCTTTTTGGCCGTTAGAGGGGTTTCTTGGTCCCTCTAGCACCGTCGGACGCCGTCTTAGGGGCCTCTCTGGGCCGACTTGGGGCACTCGTGGGGTGCTTCAGTGTCGTCATGGAGGCCACATTGGGCATTTTGGAGGTCTCTTGGGCCGTCTTGAAGCCATCTTGGGGCCGTCTTCGGGGCCTGGGCCGTCAGGGGACCGTCTCGGAGGCCTCTTGGTCTTGGGCTCCCAGAGGCGCTCTTGGAGCCGTCTTGGGCCACCTTGGACGCTCCAACCCCTCGCGGACCGCGGACCCCCTCCCCGAAGGGGAATAAGGGGGTTGGAAGAGGAGCCTCCCTAGACCGCCTGCGCCCTGAGGGCTGGTCGGACTGATGCCTACCAGTCTCTTTATGCCCATGGCTTCCGTGTGGTTGTAGTAGCACATGCGCATGTTGTCTCGCTATCGCTGCGTCGGTCCTGTGGCCATGGTCGGTCCCCTGGTCCCCTACCCCTGGAGCCTGAGGTGCTGTGTGCAAAATCGTTGGTGCACAGTTGTGCGTGAGGTACGGCCAGTCCGCAGATTTAAACCTCAAACAGCGAGTAGCATGATGATGATGCTGCTGCTGCTGATGATGATGATGCTGATGTTGCTGCTGATGATGATGATGATGATGATGATGATGATGATGATGATGAGGACCAGTATAATCCCACGACTCATCAACGATGTTGGGATAAACCCTCCATCCAAGTTCCCTCTTCATGGGCTCCTACACGAATTCGTTTGCACTGCGAGGAAACGCCCCGTTGGAAGACAGCCGTTTGAAAGTCCTGAATTGTGCCAGAGGCCCATTCCCGAGACTTCACTTGACGACCCCGACTCGTGCCAGAGCACCGTTGATGGGACTCCAACGCCGCGAATCACTGTAATTGTTGCGCCAATGCGCAATTTCTGGGACGCTTATCGTGGGAGCCCGTGGAACCCATGCAAATGCTTAAGAGGAGTGTGTGGCGCGCTCAGGTGAGAGCCACATTTTGAAAAGGAGCCGCCTTTAATCACTGAAGCTCTTGCACATTTGGAAGACGAGCGTGCGCGACGCTAAGGCCAGAGCCACATGTTGAAAACGACCCGCCTTCAGTCCGTGAAGCTTTTGCAATATTTGCAAGGAATATGCGCGGCGCCAAGGCGAGAGCCACATTTTGAAAGCCACCCGCCCTCAAGCCTGACATTTCTTGCAGATTTTCACAACGAATGTGCGCAGCGCGGGGGCGAGCGCCACATTTTGAAAACGACCCGACCTCAGTCTTCGAAACTCTTGCACATGTTTTAAGCGACTGTGGGAGGCGCTATGGCGAGAGCCACATTTTGAAGACCACCCGCCCTCAAGCCGTGAATTTGTTGCACATAATAAACGAATGTGCGCAGCGGGGAGGCGAAAACCACATTTGAAAAGGCCCCGACCTCAGCGTTCGAAACTCTTGCAAATGCTTTGAACGAATGTGCGCGGCGTTGAGGCGAGAGCCACATTTTGAAAACCGCCCGCCCTCAAGCCGTGAATCTCTTGCAGATTTTCAAAGCGAATGTGCACAGCGCGGAGGCGAGTTCCACATTTTGAAAACGACACGACCTCAGTCTTCGAGAAACTCTTGACCTGTTTTTATGCGAATGTGGGAGGCGCTAAGGCGAGAGCCACATTTTGAAGACCACCCGCCGTCACGCCGTGAATCTCTGGCTAATTTGAAAACGAATGTACTCAGTGTGCAGGTGAGAGCCACATTTTGAAAACAACCCGCCCTCAAGCCGTGAAATCCTTGCAGATTTTTGCACCGAATGTGCGCGGCGCCAAGGCCCGAGCCACATTTTGCAAACGACCCGCCCTCCTTCATCGAAATTCCTGCAAAAGTTCAGAACGAGTGTGAAAGGTGCTAAGGCGAGAACCGCATTTCGAAAACCACCCCCCGTCCATCTGCAAAGCTGTTGCCAATACCCAAGCCTCAGGGTCGCAAATGGTGGGGAAGTTCAAGGCGAAACGCCCAGCCCGCCCTGGGACCCGCCTCGGGGTGCGACAGGGAGGATGTGTTGATATGGAGAAGGAGTGGAGGAGGAGGAGGAGGATGACGGAGGAAGAGGACCAGCGTAAACCCAAGACGCATCAACGATGTTGGAATGAACCCTCCCCCCAAGCTCTCTCTTCGTAGGCCCGGACAAGCGTTCATCTCCACTGAAGGAAGCTCCCCGTCTGACGACAACCGTTTGGATATCCTGAGGCGTGATAAAGCAGCATTCTTGGAACTGCAACGCCGGCAATGCACCTGTCTTTTGCGTCTTGACGATCTTGAATCGTGCCAGAACACCGTTCCTGGGACTTCAAGACCGCGAATCGGCGTAGCTGTTGCGCCCTGGCAATCCTGAGTCCTTCCAGAACAGAAGTTTTGGTACGCTGATCATGGGAACCCGTGGAACTCGTGCAAATGCTTAAGACGAGTGTGGCGCGCTCAGGTGAGAGCCACATTTTGAAAAGGAACTGCCTTCAATCAATGAAGCTCTTGCGTATTCTTGCAACGAGTATGGGCGGGGCTGAGGCCAGAGCCACATGTTGAAAACGACCCGCCTTCAATCCGTGAAGCTTTTGCAATTTTGTAAGACGAATGTGCGCGGCGCTGAGGCGAGAGCCACACTTTGAAAACAACCCGCCTGTAGTGCTTGAAGCTGTTGCCAATGTTTAAGCTTCATGGCCGCAAGTGGTAAGGAAGTCTCAGGTGAAACGCCCGGCCCGCCCTTTCGACCTGCCTCGGGGTGCGACAGGGAGGAGTTGTTTATAAGGAGAAGGAATGAAGGAGGAGGAGGAGGAGGAGGAGGAGGAGGAGGAGGAGGAGGAGGAGGAGGAGGAGGAGGAGGAGGAGGAGGAGGAGGAGGAGGAGGAGTTGATGGAGGAGGAGGAGGAGAAGGAGGAGGAGGAGGAGGAGGAGGCCTCTTAGGAGCCTCTTGGGGCACTCTTGGGGCCTCCTGGGAGCTTCCTGGGGGCTTCTTGGAGGCATCCTTTCTTTGGAGGCTCCTTTGGATGCTCTTTGGCCGTCTGAGTGCATTCTTGGCCAGTCTGACGCCGTGGAACGCCGTCTTGGGGGCCTCTCTGGGCCGATTTGGGGCCCTCGTGGGGCGCTGCAAGGCAGTTTTGGAGGCCACCTTGGGCATCTTGGGGGTCTCTTGGGCGCTCTTGGGACCAGCTTGGTGGCCTCTGGGGCCGTCTTGGGCCGTCGGAGAGCCGGAAACCCGAACATGAGCAAATGCCCGAGTCCATCTAACACCTAAAGGAAAACACAACATCTTGGCCTCTTCGGCCTTGCTGAAGGTCCTCCTTGGTGCCTCCTGGGCCGTCTTGGAGGGCTCTTGGGGGATCTTGATGTCAACTTGGGCCATCTTGGGGGAATCTCCGCCCGTCTTAGAGACATCCTGGGGCCATCTTGGGCTCTCTTGGGGCCGTCGTAGCGGTCTTGGAGACCATCTTGGCTGTCTTGGAGGCCATCTTGGGGCCGTCTGGAGCGGGAAGACCGATGACCTCGGAAGTTCACGGGTCCTTGTGGAGGTGTCTTTTCTGTGAGACATTGATGTCTTTCCGCGCCTTTCCGCGTCCTTCCGTGTGGCGGGCGGATTGGGCCGAAGGCCCCTGGAATCTTTGAAAACGAACCCAGAAGTACCTGACGTCTGGCACGCCATGCACCCCTGTGGCAAGCCAACGTGGGGCGGCGGATCTAGTGGCCTTGGGCCCATCCCGCCACTGTGTCTGGGTTGTCGGGGCCTCCCTCGGGGGGGATCTTGGGGCGGTCTTGGGGCGGAGGGCTCAACATGACAGTTCGTGCTCCCCCTCTTGGGCCACTCTTGGGGCTGTCTTGGGGGCTTGTTGGGCTCCCTACATCCCCAGGGCGAAAGTTTTTTCTTTTGGGCCCGGAACGACGGCTTCAAATCTTGAACAAACGCGTAGGAGATCACCACCGTCGGATCCTATGAAGCTCGTGCGGACCCACTTGTGGCACGCGGGTGTTCGTGTCGATGGATCCGATATCCGTTCGCGCGGATCCGATTTCGGATTTTTGTGGATCCGTGTTCGTTTTTTTGTTACGGCGGATCCGATTTTTTCCCCATCTTCGATTTCATAGTATTACGATTACAACGGGAAGCTGGACGAAATCGGATCCGAGGACCCCAGAACCCACCCGTGTTGAGATTCTACGGGGGACGGGGGTTCGGTTATTATCAGGAGGAGAAAAAAACATACAGACACAATTATTCGTCGAATCCCAGAAAATATGCGAAAATATGGGAAGTGGGGGGGAAGACAGAAACCCAGAAAATATGGGAAAATATGGGGAATCTTTTTATTTGTGTGTATTTATTTGTGTGTCCCAGGGCCCCTTCATATTAATTTTCCAAGATGGATCCTCAACTCCACTGTCTCGCGCGCTCCCTTTACCTTTCCGCGCGCTCGGGTCCCACTCGACGTGAATGCATATCTCTCCCTGTGGATGCTGCACGCAGCTCGTCCAGACGCCGTTCGTTCGGCGGCGCCGACGTTAGCTGTCTTACTCATCATCGCCAGTCGCACCTCGAGAGGAAGACCTTTCGTCCCGCGTGAGCATTGGGAGCTCTTGGGCCGTTTTTTGGGCGACCTTGGGCGCCTCCTTGGGCCGTCTGGGACGCTCCGAACCTGAAGACTAAAGACGGTAAGGCTAAAACCACACCACAGCCAATTTGCTTTGACGACTTCGGCCTTCCTGGGCCGCCCCTCCGGGGCCTCCAGGACGGCCCAGGGGTTCGCCCAAGAGGGCTCCAGCACAGTCCCCGGGGTCATCAAGGAAGACCCACGAGTTGCAAAGCAGAAAATCTAAAGAGGCCTAAGCACCCATCGTCAAGGCCAGAAGCGCGACGACACGCAGCGAAAAAGTCACGAAAAAGTCACGCAGTACTGCATCAGAGCTGTGGAAGATGTTGGGCGTTTGCGGTCTGCTATGAAAAAAAGGAGAAAATCTGAAGAGGGGAGAAGAAGGAGGGGGAGGAGGAGGAGGAGGAGGAGGAGGAGGAGAGGAGGAGGAGGAGGAGGAGGAGGAGGAGGAGAGGAGGGGGAGGAGGAGGAGGAGGAGGGGAGGGGAGGGGGAGGAGGAGGGGGGAGGAGGAGGGGAGGAGGAGGAGGAGGAGGGGGAGGAGGATCCAACTCGTGCCCCAGGGCACGGTGGCAGAGATCTTGGGGCCTGCAGGGCTGATCGGCAGGCGACGGAGCGAGGGGCCGACAGCCATCGAGCAATCTTTTGTTTTCGGTGCAACGGAGGAGGAGGACGAGGAGGAGGAGGACGAGGAGGAGGAGGAGGAGGCGGATGAGGAGGAGGAGGGGGAATAACAAAAATAACCATACTAATATCAATAATACGAATAATAATAGGAACAAGCAGACTAATTAGGATACTATGAATAAGTATACTAATGCGAAGAAGAGAAAGGGATACTATCGGTTTGCTGAGCGGGAGGCTCCGTTGCCATCTGGAGCCGTCCTGGGGTCTCCTCGGGACCTTGGCGGTCATGCTGGAGGCAATCTTTGCCCCAAAACAGGCGGTATCCTGCCATCTTGGAGGGCATCTTGGCCAACTTGGATGCAATTATGACAGTGTTTCGCCATCTTCGAGGCCATCTGGAATTCTGTTGAGCTGCTTTTGGAGCCATCTTGAGCCATGTCGGACGCTCCAGCGCCTCGGAAAACTCCAACTCAGACCCCAAGTGGCGTACCACCACACCTACGCCCAGAGAGCTTGTGGGATTTATGATCTGCCGCTTAGATTTGCCTGGAGCGTCGATCCGATGCCCACATTCCGACGGTTGTCTTGAACTGTCGGATGACTGTTGTAATACCGAGCGCCTACTTGGAAAACGTCTTCGTCCTGATCCTCGTCCACCCTCTCATCCGCTCGTCCTCCTTTCCAGCCTCTTGCAGTCATCTTACTTGTTTAGCGTGCTGTGCTTCAGTTGAGCTGTTCAACCCCTCGCTCCCCTCGCTCTTCTTCTCGCCTCCTTCTTCCCTTCTCTTGTGGCCTTCGCCCCCTGCGCGAGACGCCGAGACCTTCTTCTCATCATTCACAGCCGCGCCGGTTTTGACCGGCCATGCCCTGTGCTCTTTTACGCTCCTTGTTCGGAGGTCGATAGACCTCCTGCCCTGACGCGTCGATCAGCGAGTTGGCCGTTTTCGGTTCGCGAGCCGGCGTCGCGGCCGTCACTTTTGCGGGTCCAGGTCCGTCGGTTTCGGTCCCAGGCCGTTGTCACTAATGGGTGGTTTACTACAGGGAGGTTTATCCACCGCCGGCTGATCTCCACCGCTGCGCGCTCTCTCTTCGCTCCCTCTTTGTCGCCCGGCCGCTCTGCAGATCTCCTCCGTGGCTGCGCGCCCGCGGCTTGCGCGCGGGCCGGCCCGTGTGCCTCCGAGAAGAAGGCTGCTGGTTTGATCGTGTGATATCCCAGGAGATTTGGTGGTCTGCCAGAGGTCCCCACCGCCTCCCTCGGGCCAGTTCGTTGTCTGGATCCGTTTTTGATGGCTCCCCCCGACCTCGGATCCGCCGCATTTTGGGCGATCGTCAAGCAAGGCGGAAATTTCCGCCCCACTTGTCGAGTTCGTTGGATGTAGATTTCCGCTCCACTTTGCCGTCGCTGTTTCCGCCATTTTGTCGTGGAATTTTCCGCCCTATTTTCCTGCGGCGCGAGTTTCTGCCTATGGATTGGCTTGCGCCGCACCGCTGGCCCCTCGGGAGCCTGGGATGTCTCGCTGGCTGGTCCAAGATGTCACGTGCCACACTCCAAGTCGTCTGGTGTCGCAGAAAGTGTGTTTGCTGAGAACACCAATCCTGGGAAAACTTGCTCGTCTCTCGCCGAAAGGGGCCCGAGTTCCCAAGAACGATTCAGAACCTCGGGCCCCCGGCTGGATCCCCTTTGAACTCTCTTCCAGTCCAGAGCTGCCTGTCCAGTACTCGCCGCCCTTGTGGAAACGACTGGTCCCACCCCATCCAGCCGCCAGTTTTGAACGACTTTCGTGCGCTGGCGTCGAGCCCCTTTCGCACACTCGGAGCGCACCGGGGGCGGCGCCAACGGGGCCGCCAGTGGTGTGGGGAGGGGGCCCAGCGCCAGCGCACCAAAGTCGTTTCAAACTTTCTGGGGATCCGGGTGGGCTCTCCCAGTCGGTGGGTTATTTGGTCGGGCCTCTTCGTAGGAAATATCGAAAAACAGAAAAAGACGCGGGCTTTCTCGAAATATCCTTCCTTTCAAGCCAGCCATTCTAATTCCCATGTGCCCCCTGAACTGTCGGTCGCTCGCCTGCCCTTGGTTCGGCGGCGAAATCCGAGACCTACCCTCACCGATCAACGATTCAAGCAACTCGATGGGCGGCGGGGTTAAGGTTCGGAGTTCGTCGAGCACGTGACGAAACCTGAACCCAGGCTCTACCCGCGCCTCCCATCGATTCAGGAGAATCGATGGTTGGTGGGGGTAGGTTCGGATGTCGCCCCCTGTTGGTCGGGCCAGGACGCGATGGTCGCTGCTTCAGTCGACGCTGCTCTGGTAATAGGGCCCCGCACCCCCCAAACGCCCTGAGCTTCTGCGGGGGCCGCAAGGACGCGGGCTCTTCTTGTTCAGTGCAGCAGTGTCGATTGGAGCAACGTCCATCTGAGGCGTTCCAGAAAGGGCCCCGCTTTCGAGGATCGAAGGAGTTGTTATCTCTTCCTCGGGGGAAGGCAGCGGAAGGGCGGCGGAGCCCGCGGAAGTAAAGCGAGGCCGCCTCCGCCAGCGAAAGGCTGGCGGAAGCCGGCGGAAGTAAAACATGCGTCCCCAGCACACACACATACATATATATATATATACAAGACTGCATTGGCGCTTCGCGCCATGCACCTTGTTCCTTGAAGCTCTGGATCAGCTGGCATTCGTGCTATCCTGGGAGTCCTTTGAGGGGCCCTCGCGGTTATGCATCACGAAGTTGGGCAGGTTGCGGATGGAGGGGGTTGTTACACTGAGACGGCAGAGTGAGATGGTTTTGTCTTCATGCGCGGTTGTCTCTGAGGCTTGGCAAGCGGTTCTTGGGGACTGTCTTGGGCATCTCTTGGGCCTGGGTGGTGCTGTCTTCAGGATTATGGGAGTTCGCTTTCAAGCCTCTGGGGTCGTTTTGGAAGGGGTTGGCGGGCTTCAACGGCCGCTTGCAACGTCGGACGGTCGAGCAAGAGAGAAAAAACAAATCCTTCAAACGCTATGGGGAAATCGATCAATTGTGACTTTCAGTGCTTTCTTCGGAGGATTCCTGAGGTTTTTTGGAGGCCTTTCGGCGCTTGTTGGAAGTCGTCGATGCTTTTGGGCGCTCTTCTTCGGGCCGCGTGATTTGTGAATAGCCTGTTGGAGCGGAGAGCTCTTACTTTCGCGCCTGGATGCCACGATTCTTGTGAGGGGAGCGGTTCCCAAAGGAAAACCTTTCGAATCCCGGCTTCGCAACCAAATTTGTGTTCAAACGGTTGCGAACCCAGGATTCTGGCCAGAATGTGGCGCGTCAGACGGGGGGTGTGCCAGGCGGCGTGCTGATGCGACTTCGGGGAAAGCGGCCTTGCAGAACGTCGGCGTGGGCTTTGCGCGGGGGGCTCGTCGAGACGTTCGCTCTTGGACGTCGTTGGGCTTTCCGAGCCGTAGCACTCCTACAGGGATCTGGGACGTCTCTTGGATCCCCGATGGGAGGAAGCAGGAAGAGGAGGAGCAGGGTTAGGGAGGCAGGGGCACTTGGGGGAGGGAGGAAGGGCCACTCGGGGGAGCCCGCCGGCTGTCCTCCCAAGGGCCCAGTTGCCTTCGGCGTGGTTCGGACCTCGCTTCTACTTCTTCTTCTAGGAGGTTGAGGGGGAGGGAGGAGACGACGCGGGGGCGAGAGAGGAGGGGGAGGAGGAGGAGGAGGAGGAGAAGGAGGAGGAAGAGGAGTTCGAGGAGGAGGAGCAGCAGGACAACGACGAGGAGGAGGAGGAGCAGGAGGAGGAGGAAAAGGAAGGAGAAGAGAAGGAAAAAGAGGAAGACGAGGAGGACTTGCAGAGAGAGCGGGAGGAGGAGGAGGAAGAGGAGGAGGAGGAGGAGGAGGAGGAAGAAGGGGGGGGAGAGGAAGTGGAGGGGAAGAGTAGCAGGAAGAGCAAGTGGAAGAGAAGGAAATAGAGGAGAAGGAAAGAAGAGGAGGAATACGAGGAGGAGCAGGAGGAGGAGGAGCAGCAGCAAAGGGAGGAGGAGGAGGAGGAAGGAGAAGAGAAGAGAAAGGAGGAAAACGAAGAGGTCTTGCAGGGGGAGCAGGAGGAGGATGAGGAGGAGGAGGAGGAGGATGGGGGGGGGCAGGAGGAGGAGGAGGAGGAGGAAGAGGAGGACGGGAGGGAGGAGGAGGAGGAGAGGAGGAGGGAGGAGGAGGAGGAGAAGGAGGAGGAGGTAGAGGAGGACGACGAGGAGGACGAGGAGGAGGGGGAGGGGGAAGAGAAGAAGGAAAAGGAGGAGGAGGAGGAGGAAGAGGAGGAGGAGGAGGAGGAGGAGGAGGAGGGGGAGAGGCAGAGGAGGAAGAGGAGGGATAGGAGGAGGAGGAGGAGGAGGAGGAGGAGGAGGAGCATTCAGCGCATGAAGCGCACACGAATGTATCTGAAGTAATAAGAGCGACGGCGGAGTCCGTCCGACAGGTCGCGCACATTCGAGTGGTCCGGCGCAATGCATATGATAAGTCATCCGCTCTCGGTTTCAGATTTCCACAGCAAGAGCAAAGTAGGACGTGAGCTGGCTGGTTCGCTGATGCGTGCGCGTTGGCGGCGCAACTCTTGCAAGCCCGAATGGTCGGAGGTTTGTCCAATTGGGTGTTGGAGAATGCACGTCGCGGTAAGCATCGAGAACATGAAGCGCACACGAATGTAACTGATTTATTCGGAGGCATCGCTGCAGTAAAAGAGCGCCAGCACTTGGCACGAACGGCTGTTCACAACAGGCGGAGACCACGCGGGAGGCTGGGCCACCCTAGGGGCCTCGTTGGGACCAATGTGGCTGACTTCGGAACCTCGCGGGCCTCCTTCGGAATCTCGGAGCTGCGTGGGGCTTCGGAACTTCGTGGTGCCCTGTTATGCTCGTTTGCTGTCAAGTTGGGTCCTTCTGGGGAGGTCATCAGCCTTGCTTGGGCCATCTTGGAGGCTCGATTGGGGCCCGCAAGCCCTCTCGGGGAGTCCCTCGGATCGGGTGGGCCGTCTTCGAACGATCTTGGAGGCCTCTTGGCCCCGCGGGGACGTCTGAAAACCGTTTTCAACGCCTTGTGGGCCGTCGGGAAGCTGATTTCGCGATCGGTTGGACCATGTTGGAGCGGCCTTGGGTGCCTCTGCGCTTTTTTTGGGGCCGTCATGCGGCTGTCGTGGGCCATCTTGGACGCCTCTCGGGGCTCGCTTTCGGCCGCTTGTTAGGCCGTCGTGGAGCGGTCTTAGGTGCCTTTTCGTGTGTCTTTGAGTTTGGCAGGACGAGAGGCGAGAAAGCCAACATCGTTCCTAAACATTAGAAAATTCTAGTTTTGGGTTTCTTCGGCGCTTCTTGGTGGCTCTCTGGGCGGCCTTGTGAGCGGGTGGGGACTTTTTTTTGTAGGAATTGTTAAAGTTCCTTGGCTGTCAATGTCAAGCTTCCCGGGGCCGTCTTCGGGCGGCGTGGCCGTATCTGGGGGCTGTCCAAGGCGACTCCACGCCGCCGGTCAGCGCCGGGGAGAGCCAGGGAGAGCGCCCCGGCAGGATGGAAAATCCGAAATTCGTTCGGGGGGGGGGGGGTGGGGCGCTCCGAATTAGGTGTATATATATATATATATACATATACATACAAACATACATACACACATATATTCCCCCCCGGCCCCGGGTC